ATGCAGATGTGTGCAAGTGCTCTCACTCCCTGTGTTGGACTCTAAACTCCGCGACTCTTGCTGGCCCTTTTCCATCTCTGCAAGCACCTGCTTCCTACATGGCAAATAGTAGGGCCCCAGGATGTGAAGTCAGGGTTAGAGCTGTTCAGTGTCCCATCAGTTACTAAGGCTCCAAGCCAACTGGATCAGAATTCAACACTACAGTTACTAAGCATGGGCCCACGCAGTAAGACGGTTTGGCCTTTGCCATCACTGCAGAATGTCCATTCTTTTACTGGGACCTTATAGGATGAGGTAAGTGGAAATACTAGGGTCAGAAATTCCATGGTCCTCTCACCAAATACCATGCCCATCACTGTGCCCAAACAACACTAGTGATTGACAAGCCCAGGAGGTCAGGGGAGTCATAGCAAAAATGACTCCAAAAGCTCAGGAGAACATGTCAGCCCCTTCCCTAAGTCCAGAGCATCCCAAGGGGCGTCAGGGCTCTACGATCTTGTCTCCAGAGCTAATGAAGACAAAAGTACATCAGTGGAATCCACTCAGTATTCACCCAACAAGGTGAAGGGTATAAGAATGACATACCTTCACCAGGGATAAGTCTATCTCAAGGACATTCGCAAGCTGGAAAATAAAAATAAAAATTTAGATTTTTAGAACTATGAGCATATTGCTAGTAATAGATATAAATGTAATGCCAATTAATTTAATTGTAAATGATCAATAATTGGAAAGACTGAATACATTTTGAGTTAAGAACCTTTTCGTTCTCTATCTCAGAATAGTATTAATTCTGATCTCACTGTCATGGAGTTGGTGCCGATGCACAGTGACCCTACAGAACTCCCCCTTGTGGGTGTCAAGACCCTAACTTATTGTGGGAGTAGAAACCTCATCTTTCTCCCTTGGAGCAGCTGATGCTCTCTAACTTAGCAGCTCAATGCATAACCCACGACAGTGCCAGGGCTTCCACATTAACTCATTGCAGCATCAGAAACCAGACTCTAATGTGGACTCCTTTAAGACAAGAAAACAGAGCCCTCATGATGCAGCGGTTCTGCATTAGCAGTGCGATCTGCGTGGCCAGTAGTTCAAAACCACCAGCAGCACCATGAGAAAAAGACTGGGCTTTCTACTCCCTTAACCAATTACAGTCTCAGAAACCCACAGGGGTTCGCTAGAGGTCAGCACTGACTCAATGGCAGTGAGTGAGAGGACAAGAAAATTCCTAGGTACACCAACGTAGTCCACGCCTTTTCATTACAGTCACACGAAAGGTAATTGTACCGAGTAACGGTAAACATGAACACTTTTGGCTGGAGTCACATGTAGGTACATTAGTGGTCTATCATGTGCCCACGTATAGATGCTGAGAACAGTTTAACCACGTGGTAGGGCATTTTCAGCTACTTGGCTGTTCGGTGCTGCTCAATCTACAGTGGCCCCACGTGACAGAGCAGAACCGCCTCCTGGGGTCTCCTTGGCTGTAATCTCTGTGGGAGCAGGTTGCCAGGTCTTTCTCCTGTGCAACCTCAGAGTGGGTCAGAACTGACAACATGCTAGTGGACAGCCAAGTGCTTAATCATTTGCACCACCAGGGCGAGCTGCTCACTACTTCACAGCAACTTCCTTCACACCCAAGACTAAGTCATTCCCCAAGACGCCGCCACACGTACCTCTGCAACATTCGTGTGCTCGTCTATGGACACAAATATCTTGTAGAGCAGAGTTTCAAAATAGTCCCCCTGCACGCGATTCATCACAAAGCCTTCGAGGGGAGGCACTGAAATAGATCCAATACAGACTTTCCTCAGTGGTGCAGCTCCATTAACGTGAAAGCACAATTCAAATTATCGATCTAAAAGGACACATCTCTAGCTTGTGGACTGAATTCAGCTTCTGGTCAGATTTTATCCACTTCACAGCAAACAGTCCCAAGCCCCACAGGTTAAGAGCATATACGCCCTGCCTGCAAGGGGGCTCTGGCGGGAGAGCACAAACCCACCAAGAGCTGTCGACTCACTTGGAAATGCTGGGGTCATGGATGGGATGGAAAAGTAGGGGGGCCAGGGCTATAGCTGTGGGTACTCAGCACCAATCTGACCCTGCTGCCTGACTGGCAGCAAGGTGCATGGACCACAAGGGAGCGTTTAAGACACACAAAAGGCAGGGGATAGAAAGCACTGCTCTCTGCACCTCTCCCCCACATCCTACGCCACACCTCCTGGAGAAGGGAAAATTTTTCTCTTGGATTTCTGGGATTTTGATAGTGTATGTCCAATAACAGTCAGACACACACACACACACACACCCCTCCCTAGTGTTGTAATGTAATGAAGAAATATTCTTCGGAAAATCCTAAACCGTAAGCATCTAGAAGGATTTGTGTCTCGTGTACTATAGTGAATGCTTCTCAAAGCCCCATCGACCACCCTACAGAGAGAAGCACCAAGAGCTGCATCAGAAAGCAATGCGAAACGTTCACACACGCTTACCTGCTATACAGCTGTCATCAGAGATAGGTACGTCCAGATAGATAAACCCTTTGTTATACAAACCTGGAGAGCAAAAGTATCCTGTATTAGATGTACTACTCAATGATACTAATTTAAAATAAAAAAA